AGGCTGGTGTGCTTCTTCCATGTGGGCTTTGATGCTTCTCAGGTAGATGGTCGCTTGTTTGTCTTCAAACTTTTAAGACCCTAGACGCTATATCTTTTGATAGCCGGGCACCATCAGCTTTCTTCACATTTGCTTAGGTTCACATTTTTCTTCAGCAGTCGTGTCGGGAAGGTGTGCATCCTGGAATGCCAATTTAATAGAACTACGTGTTCTTGCATGAGTAAGTGCTTGAGTGGAGGCCCAATAATAAGCCGAGTTTTGCAGCACATTTTTTAATGCAGTTTTTGTGGTAAAATTAGGTGCCTCGGCTGATACTCGGGTCAGTTTACACTTGAGCATATATGGTAATTACTGTTTACTGCTTCGCCAGCATTCTAAAAATAAGAAGCCTTGCAAAAGGAACACTAGCTAGATATAGTTAGTGGGAACATCAAGTAAAGTAGTTGGTTCAGTAAAAAGAATTATAAGTAAAATAATTTTGAACAATCTAAAAAAACCCATTTGTTTTTGTATATAAAAGAAATAAGGATCTATAAGAAACATCATAAAACCTGGGGAAATTTTGTATTTGAGAATTCACAATCAGATAAAGTAATCGACACCTGAGCTGGAAGAGACATGTAGTCTATTGTGTCATATTTCAGATTTAAAAAAATTAAATTCTGTCTTTTTAATAGTACACAGATACACATAATATTAGTTACAGGAATTTGAGATTTTTGTTTATGTCAGTAGCTGCATGCTTTGGTAGATGGGCCTGTTTTGTATTATATATACACATACTTAAATACTATTAAATAGACTTCATAGTAGGAATGATTAGTCACTTTGTTAAAAAACTTATCTAGAATAGTTTAAGAAGACTTATCAGTTGGCCTTTAGATAAATATTACTGTCTAGTCAGAAGGCAGAGGTATATAATAATTTGCATGAGGAAATTTAAGTATAAATAATTATTAACTACTTTTATCGTCTTAATCTTTAAGAGAGAAGCAGAAATATAAGGAATACATGAATACCAGATTTAGGAAGTAGTTACTATTTTTAGTGTTGAGACAGATTACCCAGAGAAGGAAAACAATTTTGGGAGATGTTGCAACCCTCCCTATTCTTAGTGCTGCGATTTAGAGAACTAATTGGAGAAGATATGGATGACAGAGTTCACTGACATGCCGTAGGCAGACTAGAAATGCCCACTACATTGCTGAGGAAACTCACCAGGGAGTCATGCTGGTGTAATTTGCTGGAGTACCACTGAAACTCTGTACCAGGAAGACAGCTGAGGGGCTGTTGAACTTAACGAGAAACCTGCTGGGGTGCCAGTGAAACTGGCCAGAAGTGGACTGTGGAGATACTGCTGAGCGTTCTGGAAGCTGCCAGGGACAGCACTAGAACTTGGTGAGATGTGATCCGTGGTAGTGCTGTTGAAACTCTCAGAGCAACTGGAACACAAGCACAGCTCACTGGGAAGCTGGAAGAAGCACTGGCAGAACTCTTCTGGAAACTGCCTGCAGGGGTGAGTGCTACCATGTGTCCTGCACATTGCTGCAACAAGAAGAAAGGAAAGCACGTTCATAGCGAGGAAGAGAAGCCCTTTCCTTCAACAGTATTCCTCTAACACTGCCTATTAACAAAGCTTCGCACCATGTTTGGAGTATTGCAGTTCAGTGGTAAATTCTTGCCTTCCATGAAGGAGCTTTCGATTCAGTTCTTGCCCAATCCACCTCAAGCACAGCTCCCTCCTGTCTGTCATTAGAGGCTTGCTGTGGTGCTGAACAGATCTTAGCGGAGACTCCAGAGTAAGATGGACTAGGAATAAAGGCCTGGAACACAATGTCAGATCCACAACAGTCTTGAGGTCTGGACAACCTTTAATTCCCTTGTGAATGAGGTTGCCATTAGTTGGGGACCTGACTCAATATGGCCAACAGTAATAATAACATAGTGTTAGCAAGCAAATGAGAAATAATTATAATATCAGATCCAGAAACACACACAGGATGGTAAAGGTGGATTTAGAGCTGATAACTGGCATATCTGGGTTCTCTCTCTCTTTCTTAAGGTGTGGGCTATATTCATTTATCCCTAAACAAACCAATTCCATCCCACTTTTTAGTCCTATTTAGTTACCCCAAAATGCCAAAGACTCCAGATTCTAGGATTTACTTCATGACCCTGACTTTCATTTCTAGGATGCTCTGGTCATACCCCAATCTGGATGCCATTCGTATGCATAGCTTCCTAAACACTCCCACAAGGCCCTCATCTAGTATGTTTTCAACAAAATTCTTATGCTCTTAATTTCTAAACCATTTCCATGGTGACATAATGGCTAAGCACATGGCTGCTAACCTTCTAAAGGTTGGTGGTTTGACTCACCAGCTGGCCCAGGAGAGTAAAGAGCTGAAGATCTGCTTCTGCAGAGCTTACAGCCTAGAGCCCTTTTATGGGTCATTCTACTCTGTCTCAGTCAGAAACAACCCAAGGGCACACTACAATAGCAAACTTCTGAAGATTGTCTTTTTCTTTTTATTCTAAAATGTGAGTAATCCCTGAGCAAACTATCCTGTGTATCCTGTGGTTCTCATGTAGCAATGGTTTTCTCTTTTACCCTTTATACCCCTGAATCTAGAGGTAAATGAAGAGAATTCTCTGCTTCTCATTACCAGACTATCCTTGCTTTTTAAGACCTCCAGCCTTGAACTTTTGCTATTGACTCTATCTCTTAATATCCCTCTTATGATGCATCTAACTCACTGTCATGCTTCTCAACACTGTCACATTTCTTGGTGATTTTAGCATCAAAAGGATGAGCCTTCTCATATTTGGGCTTTTATTTTCTCAATCATTCTTTTTATCTTACTGTAGACCTCTCCCCTTTAGTCATGCCAGTGAACTTGTCATTACGAATAACTTTACGTAGTCTCAATTATAAGCAGCCTACTTTGTGACCACTATTCCTTTGCTTCTGGCTCATTCCTCTAGATCCACAACTTCTTTGATCCACTTAGATCCACTGATCAGGCCGCTTTTTCATTCTCTCTTCCCCACTTGTAATTTTCCTTACCTGGGTTCAATTCCATGTTATCTCATTGTAGTTTTCAAAGCCTCACCTCTTTTGCCTCTCTCTTTTATTATTCCACCTTTTCTGGTGAGAACCTAAGTTGGTGAAGTTCAACTCTCTGTTTTGCGTGGGTCTGGACACAGGCAGTGGAATGTGGTGGAGAAAGCATACAGCAATTCTGGCTAATTTTACTTTTACATTTGTAACCAGTACTGAATGTCAGTGGTTCTAACTCATTGGGTGCTGCACTGGAGCAAGATGAAGCGATCTGCTTTCCTACTGATTTACAACCTCTGACATAATAGGGGATAGTTCTAATCTGTCCTACAGGGACACTCTCTGGACTTTGGTTGGGTAATAGCTTGCTTCCTGTTTCACTGACAAAATAGAAGCAATTGGAAGACTGCTTTACTGCT